ATGTTTTGGAGATGTGACGGGCCCTGCATGTTCTGTGGGTTTTGTGCGGGAGCTTTCCCTCGTGTCTGTGTTTTGAACGTGGGAAAATCCTGAAGTATGGTGATGTTGGGAGGAGGGGGGGAAAAAAAAAAAGGGGAAAAAACCCACCAAAACCTAAACAGTTTAGACATTAGAAAACAGTTTAGACAAAACATTAGAAAAAAGGATAGAGGGCAGGAATGTTTGCATTTGTCTTTTTCCACTTCAGCTGTTGACTTAGTTTTAAGTGTAGAACTACCTTGCACAGCTTCTTTTAGTCTGTTTTCTACTCAATGTATTCTTGGTTTAGCCTGGTCCATAGCTGCTTACAGATGTTTTGAGGACTTGGGAGACTGGAGCTACTTTTCAGGAGTTTATTACCTTGAAATTAAAACCAAATAATTTTTCTCTTCCTGTGAAGGGTCCCTTGCATCCTCCATTACAGCCTCAGCCACAACCTCAGCCTCAGCAGCACCATCACCAGCAGCAGCAGCAGCACCATCACCAGCAGCAGCAGCAGCAACACCATCATCATCTCCAAGGGCCACCACAGCCCTTGATGCCCATGAACCAGCCACAGTTCAGGCCTCATATGCAGGCCACGCAGCAGCAGCCAAATAATAACAGGATGCAGTGTCAGCCACGACAGGGTCCAATGAAGCCAAGGCATGTAAGTACCACATACATCAGTGATGCCTTTGCGTAGTTGTGCATGGGTAACAGGCATGTAAGCACAGGTTTCAAAACTCTCCAGTGTGGTTTTTCAGTCCCACTTGTTCTGTCCTGCTGTCACCTTCTTTCACCATTTCTTGCTTTGATCATTTTATAACCTGCATCCAAAAGTAGCACACGTATCTTTCACTTTTTCTTTCCTCCTCCAGTCTTCAGTGTTTTTCTTGATCTGTGGCCAATAAAAGATGGTACAGTTGCCCAAGAACTGACAATAAAGGGTTTTTGGAGGATAGGTTTGCTTAGTAAGATTTTAAACTGCTGGTAGCCTGTAATTGTGTGGGAGCCCAGTTCTCTGACACTTTCAATTTGAAGACCTCTCTGTACCACTGCTAATAACCTTTCTGGTTCAGATAGTGCCACTCACGTCTTGAGTTTGCTCCAGTGCAGCATGTTCTGTTACTCAGTAGGTTGGGGTAGTACAACAGTCTGAAGCAGTGCTCAAGACAACATGACTGCAGTTCAGAGTAATGGCTTTGATTAGGAAAATAAATCACACAGTGAAGCCAATTTCTCAGAAAGATGCTAAACAACTGAGGTTCAGTTTTGCTTTTAATTAAAAAAAAATAAAACCATTGTTAAAATGTTCTCATTTTAATAATTTTTCTTTTTGCATTGAAAATATTGTGCCTCTTTGAAGAGTGTTTTTTCCCAAACTTAACTAGGTCATGAAAATGTGAAACAGGAAACACTTTTCAACTGGTTTGTCATGAAAAAGTCTGCAGTTTTTTTCATTTTCTGCTTTTCAGAATACACCATCACAAAATATTGTCAAGCGTCCAAATCAGCAGCTACAGTCAACTGCTCCAAGAAATAGTAACTTGCGTGAGTTGCCAATAGCACCATCACATGCTATGGAAATGAGCAACAACAGGCGAACCTCCACCCCAGCAGCTCAGGTCAAACCCATTACCAGCACGATGTCTGCCACCAAGTCTGTAGCTGGTGTTGGAAACGCACAGGGACGGCCTGAGATGAAAGCTAAAGCAATCACGCCAGTGGGCCAAGCAAAATCAGAAGTAAAAGCTGAACCAGAGGTAAGGCTTTTTTTTTTTTAAAAAAAAAAACAAACCAAAAACCACCAAACAACTGCAACCACCCAAACCAACAACAAACAAAAAACTCACCTTTTAAAAAATTTTCTAGGCTTACTTAATAACTGTAAGCACGCTTAATGTATTATTCACCCAATATTTTTGGTGCCACTAGAGTCTTCCCTTCTGAGTTGCACTTTCCTCTTTAATGTGATAGCAAAACCAGTCTCCACTAACAAAAAAGTTTGGAAGGTTGGCAGGGCTGTGGTGAATCTATTTTGCAGCAGAAGGGGTCATTTCTACTATGAAAAGGCAGAGGTTAAGTAAAGGTCATCAATGATGCAAGCCTCTGAAATACCCATAGTGCCCATTTTTATCTTCTAGGATTATATCATCCTTTTTCTCAGGTAATATAATTCTTTTAAGTCAGAAAGCTGCTTCTCTTCCATTTCCTATGATGCTGTATGGCTAAAAAAAAAAAAAAAGGACTATTTGGGGAGTTATCTTTGTCATGCCCTTTTCCTTTAGGCTGCCCAGTCTCCTCTAGGATCTTGAGCACTCATGTGGGAGGTTGCAGTTGCATTGCCCATGGACCTTCTTGCTCTTGAAGAAGGAAATCTCTCTCTTATGAAATCTTTTGGCATAAGGGAAAATAGGAGATGCTCTCAAGTTTTCAGTTTTGGGGAAAAAAATGGTGTTTTCTCTGCTAGTACTCTCCACAATCAAAAAGAGAGATGCCAGTGTTTTGGGCTCTGCTAGGTTGTGCAGTGTGAACAGATGACCATTTTCCTGCACAGATTCTCCTGAAAGCTAAAGACGACTCACTCTCCATGAGCACTGTTGGTTTGAGAGAGTGGGTAGGATTGTGCTGATGGTGCTGTTAATTCTAAACATCAGGAGGTGCCAGAGGAATGTGATGGCTAAATACACTCTTTAAAATTTCTGAGTGTCAGGTTATTCTGGGTAGAACTGTAAGTCTTGATAGTTTAGTTGACCATGAATCTTGTCTCAAGGACCAGGTTTTCTCCAACAACTGTTGGAAAGCTTTAATTGTGATAATACCACCTTCCCTTTAAGCTGCTTGTGATTAGCCTTTCATCTTGTTCTTGAATTAGGGATGGTCATAACTAATTTTCACAAATCAGGCACAAAAGAAACCCATAGCTAGCAGTGTTTGACCTCCTGTGCACTTGTTCTGCAACGGGAATATAAAAACATAATCCTTATTTCAGGTTTTCAGCTTTTAATTTTGATCTTTTATGAAAAAAATGGCTTAAGTAATCTTTCCCTCAGTTCAGTCTCTTGGAATAATCCAAGTCACAGAAAATGCAGTCAGTGCCTCTTAGAGAAGTCTCAGGCCGTTAGTAAAGGTAAGTTTTGAAGAGCTGTGCAAAGGCCTCCTCGTCTAAATTATCTTGTAGTTCTTTCATAGTATAGTTATGTGAAACTTAAGGCATTAGTTCTGAAATGTCTCTAGCAGTGTTTGGAAAAATGAACGAGTGTTTTTTCACCCCTCTTAATTTAAAAAAGCAAAACACTAACAAAGCAGTCATCTCATTCTCTCCATTTTAATTTTTAAACATATCCTAACCTTTCATGCTAAGGCTAATCAATCTTACTCATGTGAATTCTTGGGTTTACAAATAAAGCTTTCTTTTTATTTCTATGTCAAAGCTATCTTTGAAAACAGTTTGATACCTGTTACATGTAAGTTTTTGCAAAACAGGATACAAAAAAAAAATTGCCTTGCAAAATTGTCTCCTAGTGTTTCCTATTATTAACCATAAAAGTAAAGCCTTTGTAGATGATACACTTGACAGGTACTAGAAAAGTGTGTGAATGTGTGCGCGCGCGCAGAAACCCTTCTACTTTCGAAATGAACTTGAAATAGAGCCTTGTGCTGCAAGCAAGGGTATAGTAGCTGTGGTTCCCTTTCAGCTGTGCCGCTCCAATACTCCTGTTCACTGATGCAGCTTAGTGTCACTTCTACAGACAGCATTACTGCACTAGTAAAGTTCATTACTAAGCATTTAATCATATTCTTCACTATTCTTGTAGGTTATTACATTTCTCTCCTTAGGCAGATTGTAATGTTTTTCAGTCTTTTTTTGTGTGTTTTTCTTGTAAATAGCTAACTTTGTCCTGTTCTTTTGCTTTCTGCAAAGATGAGAAAGAGTTAAGTTCTGTCATCTTTTCTAGCTGTATTGCTCATAACTGACTTGGGCAGGTTATTTTGCAAGTGTCTTCAACTGGAAAATTATTAAGAATTTTCTTTGCATCCTTCTTTCTGAAGAGTCAGTGGCCATACTTATGAATGGCCTATCATTCAGGAAGCACTGAAAAAAAGCAATATTGGCTGTTAAAGGTTTTGCTTACCTTCAAAGGTTTGCAACCTGAGTGACTAGAAGATTAAAAAATATATTTCTACTAATGGTATGCTTGTGTTCCCGTTCCTCTGAGGCTGCAGAATATTGACTTTAAATGTCTTTGTTTAAAATAGCTGTTACTTGCCAAGATTTGAACTTGCATATCCTCAGTCTGAAAAATCATTTTGTCAATGAAATTGGGAAGTATGGGGGGGTGACTGTGGGTCTAATTCTGCTCATGTTGAGGTCAGTTGAGGATAAGAGGAATGAAGGCATTATTAAACATTTTTTAGTTTAAAGAAGGAGGGGACTCATAGAATGGCTTGGGTTGGAAGGGACCTTAAAGATCATCTAGTCCCGACACCCTCCGCTAGACCAGGTTGCCCAAAGCCCCATCCAACCTGGCCTTGAATGCTTCCAGGGATGGGGCATCCACAGCTTCTGTGGGCAACCTGTTCCAGTGCCTCACTACCCTAACAGTAAAGAATTTCTTCCTAATATCTAGTCTGAATCTCCCCTCTTTCAGCTTAAAGCCATTCCCCCTTGTCCTGTCACTCCATGCCCTTATAAAAAGCCCCCCTCCAGCTTTCCTGTAGGCCCCTTTAGGTACTGGAAGGCTGCTATAAGGTCTGCCCGGAGCCTTCTCTTATGCTGCTCTTCAGTTAGACTCAGAAAAGCAGTCTGTACATTTTTTTTTTTTTGGCACTTTCCATCAAAGCCTATTTGGACCTGAAAGCAGAAGAAAACCTATAGCTAAGGCTTGGTCTTTTCTTCAAGCTGCAATGAAATATGTTGTGTTCAAGAACTGTTCAAAGACAGATGAGAATCTCCACTTCAAAACCAACCAAACAAAACCACCCCAAAACCCCTAAACTACAACAAAAAACTAACAAAAACAACCCACCACAAAATCCAACCAAAAAAATACCCTCCATAAAACCATGGGAAATGCTTCACATCTCTGGCCTTGTACTCTGTAGCCTCCTGTAAAAGATCATTTCTTCATGTGGTAGAGTTTTCTTCAGAAAAAGGTGAAGTGTCAAGAGTTTGTCTAGGAAAAAGGCTGCTTCAAGTTCTGCTTCTTGACTTAGAGATAATGTTGCTTTTGGCAGGAAGCTTCCAAACACAAGCTGTGAACTTTGTGACATCTTTGAAGGATGTCTACTTTCTTGCAGTTGCTGGCCTTTTTGGGGGGTTTTTGTTGTTGTTTTGGTTTTTGGTGGTTTTTTTGGCAGTGCTACTGCTTGTTGGAGAAATCTGCACTGGGCTTGTTAAACTAATGAGATGAAAACCATTAGCAGTAGGCATTGCATACTGTTTCCATCTTGACCAATATGCTGGCTTGACTGTTCCACATGATGAAGCTCCTTATTACATAGCATAGGTTATTTATATATACTATAGGTCTTCTTTATATATACACACGCTCTCTGTATAGTATATATAAGGTGCTCTTAAAGCTAAGCAGCAGAGGATTTAACTGCCCTTGTTTTCAACCTAGCGAGGACTTTGCCCGTTCTGAATCTGTACTGTTGGGTCATTGCACAACTAATTGCAATTAAACCTGACTCCTAATTCAAATATTTTGTTAGTGATCACAGGGTCTTCATATTGTTTGGCCTTACTCTAGCTGCAAGGGTATTTTACTGAGAACTTAACAGTAGTAGCAACTTGCTTATGAAGATGAGGGATTTTAGGTCTACCTATAGCCCGTTAAAGGGCTGATCTGCAGTTGCCATAACCTCAGAGCTCTTGGCCCTTCATTTCAAAGCTTACCCTTTAAAAAGGAATTGATTTCATAGGATCTGTACTGATTTCCTATGTATTGAGTTGAGTTCCTGAAAGGAAAAATTCAGATTATATTTGAGATCACGTTACCTAAAGGTTATACTAAGCATTCATCTAACTTCATATGTGTTGGTAATATAGTTTGTCAGCTCTTTTCTGTGTTTAATGCTATTGTAGTTAAAATCATTGTATCTGTCCATACTGCATGGACATATTGGTCAGAGTCCCTCAGGGTGTTCATTCCTTGTCTGCTGGCAAGATTCATTTTAAGAGTGCCACAAAGCACACATCTCTGTGCTGCTATATGTAACCTTTGAGTTAGTGTTTTGTACTTCCTAGATTGTGATCTACATCTTCCAAGGCCTTCAGAACTAGTTAGATGATAATATGAGCAGACAGGTCCCTGATAATAAAGGAGAGCTGATAGAAGAGCTGGTCTCATGCAGATTCTTGCTGGTATTGACATCCTCAATTGAACATTAAAAAAAAAAAAAAAAAGTACAGCACTGCCTCCAAAGGTAGATTTGGTACTGGCTCACCGGCAGTACATCAAACCCGTTTAGGTAAAATGTAGAATATTCTGATCTAAAAGCAAGTGAATAAACTAATTCATTAAGTTAAGTGGAAGAGGTTTTGTGTTTGGACAGTGTCAGTAATTGAGATATCTACTGTCTCTAAAAGTGACTGAAAATTTTATTCATTGCATCAGGATCTGCATAACGGAACATTCTCCTCCTATCTGGAGCTTATCTGTATTTTGTATCATCCTATGCAAAGCATATTTAAGGCTCTTACCCTGTTGCTGTATTTTGTAAGGGCCTTGTTCTTTTTTTTTTTACTACAATCCAGCATCTCCAGTTTTCAATTTAACATGAAATATTTGAGTTTCCTACTAGTGTCCATTTTACTTTGTAGAAGTACGTTCCTGTTACCACATATCAATGAAGACCTGTAATCTAGTCGTTACAGTCATTAGCTATTAATCACCACCATTGTAGTCTGAAAAGTGTAGAGAAAGATCAGAACCCTTTGGTATATGAAGCATTCTCCTAAAAAGGACAGTGTTAGACCTCATCTCAGAACTACAGCCTCTCTGTAAACCAACATTGGTTTTTTTTTTCCTTTCTGTAAACCAAGATTATAGTTGGATCTGTTCTGCCCTTTTTTCCTTGGGTAAGGGGGGATTCTGGGAGGTACCAGGGATAAAAGCACTTGGAGTTTAAAAAAAAAAAAAAAAAGTTGTTGCACACTTGGGTTCTATACATGCAAAAAATGGCATTTCTGTTTACCAGAGCTTGCGCTCAGTTACTGCAAGGTAAATAATGTCATCGCGGATCCCTTATTTGAGAAAAGTTTTAACATTCTTTATGCTGTAATTTACCAAAATGCAAAGTATTGTTACTTTGAGAGCCTGTTTTTGTTAGGGGTGATTAATATATCACGAGTGGAATGTTATGCTCATTACCATCTGTAAACAGTTTCTACAAGTCTCTAATATTTGAAATAGTTGAAAATAAAAAAATAATAGAATGAAAAAGTATGCTTTGTAGTTTTGAAAACACACCTGTGATTATATCACAAGAGCAATTTGATTTCTTTTCTAGGGTGATGAGAATCTGCATTTCCTTGACTTTTGCCCATTTCATACAGCTTTTCATAAGAACCTGCTGTGCCAAAGTTGAAGAATCTTTAGAAAGGTTATTTGATGGTGTGTAATACTTTCAGAAGGGCCAAGGCTGGAATATTAAAGGCATTCTCTATATACCATTAATATTCCAACACTGCATTTGGCAACATTTTGATTCTGAAGAGAGTGCACGAGTTCAAGGTCAGAGAGATTGACTTGTGCTGTTCATTATAACCAATTATTGTGTGACAAATGAGTTTGAGATCAGGCTGAAAATTCTGAGAGAAAAATCAATAGTTCTAATCAGGGCCTTTCAGGTCATTTACCACCCTACCTTTTGTTACTTTGTCAGAAAAGAACAAGATAAAACCTGTGTGACAGTGGGTTGCCTCCGTATTGTTACTTTTCATTTGAAACATATTTTGATATCTTGAATTATATTAATAGTTTAATTGGTTTTAGAAACTTCTAAATGAGTTCCAATTTGTAAAACTTTGTATTCTTTTTTATTTTTTTTTTAGTATTCTGATAAGATTTCTCAACTGGTATTAAAGCGCTCTCTCTTTTTTTTTCCTCTTCCTGTCTAGGAAGTAGCATATCTAAGTCCTAAAACAGATTTGCGCTGTTTGTTTGTAATGAATAGCAAATAAACCTTACCAGCAGTTATACTCCACTAATAGCCTTAGTGATATCAGAGATAATTTAAAAAGCTCTTCAGAGAGTTACAGCTTCATGACATCTGAAGCCACAATTTAATGTTGTTTTGACCAAGTTGGGCATTTGTTGAGAATTTCATAAACTCATTTGTATTTTCCTTTGTAGTATCCAGATGAGGATGAAGAAACTAGATTGTATCGTTTGAAGATAGAAGAGCAGAAACGTCTGAGAGAAGAAATCCTGAAACAAAAGGAGCTGAGACGACAGCAGCAGGCTGGCGCTAGGAAGAGAGAATTGCTTGAAAGACTTGCGCAGCAGCAGCAGCAACAGCAACCTTCTACACAACAGTCCTACATGCAGCAGGACGACGACTCCTCCGAGTTCCCCACCAACGGCAGCCCTTACATACCCCACTCTGGCTTACAGACCAGGCAAAATGTGAAAAACAGACTGCTTGTTAAAAAGCAAGATATGGTATTTCCAAATATCCAACCCAAACCCACAGATTTCCCCCAAGTCGGCACAAATATGCAGTATCAAGGACAGCAGCTGAAGCCAGTGAAGCAGCTGAGGCAGACTAGGACAGTACCTCCGAGTCAGCCTCAGGCACCGCAGAAAGTCTTACAGACAAAACCTGCTGCAGCATCGCTGCCCACGACACAGACTGCTCGAGTGGCTTCGGTACAAGCAAGGCCCCAGGAACTGAAACCTGGCGTGAAAAGGACTGTCATGCAGCGGACAAACAGTAGTAGTGGAGATGGGCCCCATGTCGGCAGCAAAGTCAGGGTGATTAAATTGTCAGGAGGGGTAAGTTTTCAAGGCTCATCTCATGTGTGTGTGTTGTCATGGTTTGTTTTTGTGTGTTTCATTCTGTGTAATCCCAAAATAAAAAATGGGCCTAAGCTGACAAGGGAAGTAGCAGGTTTAGCAGACCTAATAGTCAATATTTTATATTTTCAGAACTATAAGTTATTAGTGGTTATTCAGAAATTAATGTTTCCCGTAACACTTTACGGCCAGGCAGTTATCACTGAAATCACATTGAAATAATACTTCTTTCTTTTAAGTTGTAACTTGAGTCTGAAGGACTCCTCAACTCAGCTACCTCATTTTGCTTAAGGTTGATAGACCTGATAATTGGTCTAAGGAAAGGATTTGGATGGCTCTTTTCAAGGCTTGGTTACAAAGTCAGGCTCTGCTTATTTGGTAGTTGAAGCCAGCAAATTTAGTTGTATGCAGATGCTGGTGCTAGTGTGGTTTCTGTACTCAAGGGAAGATTGTTTTTATTTTCTTGGGAAGTGTGTTGTGAAACTAATTTAAGCAGTATATTGGAGGGGGATGTTTTCTGTTAGAGGCTGGGTTTAAAACGTTACCATTTCACTTCTGCATCTAAATGAGATTTCCTTATCTTTTGATGAGGGGTCTATTATCTGCAGAGTGTCCCTTGAGTACCGGTGTTGTGGAGGACTCACAATGCTGTGTGATGGCAGTGTGCATATTTAAGATCTGGGGCTTTGGTTAGAAGGTATGTCGACCAAATTTCTTCTGTCTTAATGAAAAGACAAGTTAATTTGTTAGGGCTTTAAAGAAACTGAGTTGAGGGGACATAGCAAGATCATGTTGTCAGGGAGAATCTGTCCTCGGGTTTATGCTGAGAAGGAAAGAAGGATGCGATGAAGTTTAATGCTGTGATACATTGGAGGTGGATTTTTTGGAAGAATGCTTCTTAAATTATTTGGATCATTAATTAGGGAAACCTGCAGAACTGCTGTAATCTGTAATGAAGTGAACAGTGTGTTAACAGGGCAGTGACTGAACAAGGCCATGGAGGCCAGGCTTTACTCTGTAGAAATGGGGAGGAAGTTGAAATACCAAAGTCTTAACTACTTTTTATAAACATTTTTTCTATAGCTCATAACACTTAAATACACTTAAAATTGTGAACTGCATAATGACCATGTGGTCTTTGAAAATATTAACATAAAGGGCCTTATTGACTACACAGAGCAGACAACAACCTGACTTGGAGGATGTCTAATTCCTCAGACATGGTAACTTAAGTACAGAAGAATAAAGTACAAGAAGTTGAAAGAAATTGATTCTGTTGGGCCAAAACTATTTTTATATAAATATGTCTGCAGGAATCCCAGTGGCCTGCAAGAGGTATGACAGGTTTGTTATTCATGAATAATTGAATAAAGCAATCATGCACAACTACTTTTATTATGTGGTGAAACAAAACAATGCCCGTCACCACTGTATACAGCTCTTCATAGCAAATGGTTATCAGCACCCATGGTAGCGTTCACAATGAAGTAGTTTTTATCACAGTGCTCTATTTCAGAAAACCATAAATGATTTGTTTCAGATAAGCCTCACGGTAAGCAAGAGCAATTAGCTTTATTAAATGCACGTGTAACCCCTCTTCCATTGTATACAGAAGCAGATTTGCTCTGTCCTTAACTTTGAGATACTGAGGTTTGACCAAGGTAAAGCAGGTGTGTTTACATGTAGCCTTTGTTACTTTTTCATATTGCCATGGGCATTTTAAGTTTTCCTCCCAACTGTGGAAGAATAAAAGCAAGCATTGCAATTAGCTGTTTAACACAGATCAAGATAGTTGATTAATTTTTAATCAGTTAGTGACAAGCTGAATCTATGACTTTGCTTCTTTGACCACATGAGGAAAAAGAGAAAATTGAGCAGCAGGGGGGCTAATCTTGTCCATTTTGACAGGATTTTAAAGAAGAATTAAAAGCTGCTTGGACTCTGAATACTATGAAGATCACGTTTAGTTTCCATTTCTAGTGTTTAGTCCTGCCATGTGCTTTATTTATTTTCACAACTTTTGCCTCAACCCTAAATATAAAGCAAAAGCTAAATCTCATTTTTCCAAGCCATTGTCCTTAGCATGTAATAGTGCTTCCTCTAATTCCCTGCCTTTGGCCAAAGGGATGGCTGGTATCTCTTCTCTGTATGCATTGACTTTATCCTCCAGTTAAGCAGCCCTGCTGCTGCTCTCAGTCTAATCGCTTGCACCCTTTTTCTTTTCTAGAGCTCTTTTGTGCAGAGGTGTTTTGAATACCCACATAGGAGTGAGATGACTGGCGATTAGACACAGTGCTGGTTCCTTTTCCAAGCTCTCTTAATTTATGTTGGTAAAGACTTGAAAAGTCCCTTCCTTCTCTTTTGGCCTGCCAGCCATGGTACAGCACAACAGTAGAGCTGTCACTTGAAGAAGCTGATTGAGGCCAGAGCTGTGCTAACTTTAGATAAAGGAAATTGACCTAAATCAGGAGCTGGTAGCAAGGGCTGTTCTAGATTTAGTAGGACCATCCACAGAACAGGATTCAATGGTGTTGCGTTGCTGGTGATTTTCTTCAGGAGTTAAGATGTACTTGGTGTATTGGTGACATTCATGATGTACAAATACTGTCAGAAGAAAATGGTTTCTTCTCCTGAGGGCAATCTCTTTCCCAGTCTAAGCTTCTAACTGTGTGTGTGTTTGGTTGCTGGGCACTGCAGTACTACTGAGGATCTCTGACCTCCAGGTAGGAGTATCCCTTGTTACTTAAGAGGGTAAAATGGCCTTTCATGTGTTTCCACAATATTTTTATGGAATTGTAATTGCTAATTAAATTCCAAGAAATATTTTAATTTGTCCACTTGATCTGTTTCATGATGCCTTAATTTATGGCTTCTTATACTTAAAGAAAAGGGAAGAAGATTCAGCATTCAGTATGTCAAACTAAGCGCATATCAAGGTGACATATGTTAGGTACTGTCATTAACAATTTTATCTGATGCTATTTTTTTAAAACAAATCCTGCCTCCCACCCCCCCCCTAAATACTCATATACCCATCCCTTTCTAATACTCCTGTAATTTATCCAGGAATGGCAGTACAGTGAATATTTTTCCATTTTAATTACTCTTTTAAATGTTGTGTTCCTGGAAATTGAGGTAGTGTTCAGTAGATAAACTTTGATTTTTTCGGGGTTTTTTTTATAGAGGCCCAAATAGCTTTTGATGGATTCAGTGTACTTTATGGTTTGTGTGGCAGGTCTTCAGAGCCATCCTTTCCAGATAGAGCAGTTCAGTGTATTTGCTGAGTATTCAGACTAGTGTATTTCACTAAGAAAACATCTGAGATTTGCCTGGCTTGGTGAGGAGCCTGAAGTCAGTCCTAAAGATACTCATAAGAATAAACTCAATGAGATTGTAGAGTATAGGGAAGAAATACCCTAATAAATCACTTGAAAATGTGATCATAAAATTATACAAAATAGGGGTGAAAGGACCATAGAAATATTTTATTCTGTCTTGAGGTGGGGGGAGGGAGGGGGATAAACTCTGTAGCATTCCTGACAGATTCGTCCAGCCCTTTTCTGAGATCTCATTATTGGAGATTTCTTTGACCATCTATTCCAGTGTCGAACATGTACATTTAGGAGAATTTTATTAGTGACCAAGCCACATTTTCTTGCTGCAATTTTGAATCTATGGCTATTTGTGTTATACTTTGAGAGATGGGAAAGAATTTATTATTATTAAAGCCTCTCTGTGGCTGTCTCTTTTTTAAAGATCTGTTGACTGTTTCTGAGCACTAATATCCTTCACTTCCTCTTGATGAGGCATGTTTTCTAATACCTTGGCTGTTTGTGGTGGTCTTCTTTGGGCTTTCTGTGATCAGTCTGTTGGTAAATAGTTCTAGTACCAGGTACAACTGAATTCCTTAAGCCAATATATTAGAAGTGGTTTTAGTCCTGGAAGAACAGGTTTGTACCAGCTACGACCTTAAATATCTTAAGATCATATAAAATATGTGCTGAATATGTTTTTCATGTAGTTGGAGGTTCTGTGGGAAATGATAGTATCTTAAAATCTCTGTGTCATTCAGTCATCTTATATTGTTGTTGGGTGATTTCTCTCTAGCCAGAAAATGGCCTGCCATGCTCAGAGAGATGTGTGTCTGTCCCAAAGGCCTGAAAATGCTGGTTCTTATGCTGCACCAAGAACACACCAATCTGTCTCTGTGGAAAGCTGCACAATGAGTTTTTTTCCTAAAAAAA